ATGGGGCCAGCCGATGTACAAGTCAGTGTTTTATCCTCCCAGACGAATCTGGTACCAATTTACCGTCCCCGGAGGGTAGAAGGCTTGGTTGGCCTGGGCGGGAGTCGACCCGGGATTCGAACCCGGCGCCGCGCGAGTGGTAAGCGCGCCACTTGTCACTACACCACCTCCGCCCCAGTTAATTAATTACGGCGCGAAAATGAATTTTTCGCGTTTCTTGCAGTTTAGGAAGTATAAAAAAGACGATACCTTGAAACCAGTTGGACACCAGTCGACGAACTGAATAGAACGTTTCGTCTTGATGGTGGCAATGGCAGCGTTAACATCCTTGGGCACCACGTCACCACGGAACAAAAGGCACACAGCCATGTATTTGCCGTGTCGTGGATCGCATTTTACCATCTGATTATGCGGTTCGAAACACCTGAACATTTCAACTCGTAACCTTTCCGCACATTCTAAACGCTTTACAACATTTTTGCTTGGAAAAATGGCGCGGTCTGGCTTGTGGGGGGGGGGGCATTTTGCACTTTCGCTACTTCCCATCGTCGTGTCGAGCCACCAAATAGAGATCTGTGAAATCTCGTGAAGTCATGAAGTGATACCAGTCAAAGTGTGTAAGACTACTTGTCAACTCCAGTAAAGCAGCGAGACGACGATGGGAAGTAGCACAAGTGTAAGGGCCCTCGCCCCCTCCGCGCAGGCCAAACTGCGCCAAAAAAAATCATCCTCCTACTTTCGGGTGTCGGTTGTGAGATCTGGACTAGAAAGCATAAAAGAGCCAATATTTTCAGACCACTTGACCCGGCAGAGCGTACCATTTAAGTCAGTATACTGGACGCCATGACAGACTGAAATTGTGGTACGTGATTCATACGAAGGACTCGAATAGTAGGGGAAGGCTCAACGCAAGAGACGGGCCGTGAATCGTCACGTTAAACGGCATATAATAATTTAGGATGACAGGCTGGATCCAGTACCCCAAAACTTGAGCGTAAAATGCCGTAGACTTTTTGCACCGGAGTGGCCCCTGGGGCCCCCCCCACAGTATCCCTCTAATTCTCGGCCTAGAAGCACCTAACTGATGGACAGAAAGCGTAATAGCGTCGCTCTCTGCTTCCCCCGCCTCTTCATGAGGTTCGTGCGTTCACGGGACGAAACGATTTGTTTTTGACGGCGATAATTCTGGGTAGAGTATACCGGCCTGCTCTCCTAAACTTATTGATCATTGTTCTGGAGACAAACGGGCACTCCGATGGATGGCGACGGCCACTGACCCTAAACTGTCAAAAGCGAATATTTCCTAAAATACGTCAACTCGAGCATTGCGGTGCACTTCCCACGCTAATACCATTTGTGATCTTGGTGTAATGCCGCGGCGCTGGGTGAAGACCGCATGCAAATGTATCTTCGCTGGGCACACGTGGCATGTTCCTCAAAAGCGTCCAGGCTCATTCATGGCGGCGCGCTCATCTCGAAAAATAAGTAACCAAAATGCCTCGAAAATTTGGCTCAAGGGCTAAAACACTCACATGTTGGTGATTTCGGCGACTGACAGCTGTTCATGATAAGCTTTTTCAGCGGAAATTACAGGTGAGAAAGTTGCAAGCGGGAAGTGGATGCGAGGGTACGGCACGAGATTGGTCTGAAACGGCACATAACAAATGACAAGCATACTTGGATGACCTGGGGGAAACTCGAGAAGAGCACTACAGTAAGAAGGGATCCTACCTGGAATTCGGTCAGGTCCACATTCAGGGCTCCATCAAAACGAAGCGAAGCGGTGATCGACGAGACGATTTGTCCTGAAAAAAAAAAAAAATCGCATGCGAAGGAGACTATTGTCATTCGACTCTTCAGAAAAGTCGATAAAGAGAAAAGAGCACAGTTATGCTTGGGGGGGGAGGGCACCAGGTGGAACTCATCTAACAATAAGCTTGTACAGGTCCTACTGCGAAGACCCGTGAGGTCCTGTGACTATAGTGCCTCACTCGAACCATTTAGCAGCTTCACAGGTCTGACCAGAGTGGGACTTATAAGCACGGAATGCCCCCTCCAAGCCGAACAGCGCAGAGAAAAGCCGTGACCTAACAGTTGAATATTTTCCTACTGAAGGCATTCCATGACTCTCTCTGAGAACTGCTGTGAGTCTTCTCACCCTCATTTTCTCCAAAACTAACAAGTAACCAACCGATAAGTCGGTTCAAGTTGGTATAGCTGGGTCTTTCGATGTCAAGATTTCGTCGGCAAATGTCGTAGATGGCTTCGTTGTCGACCATGAACGAGCAGTCCGAGTGCTCGAGAGTGGTATGGGTGGTCAGGATCGAGTTGTACGGCTCAACAACGGCTGTCGACACCTAAATTTCAGAGGATGTCCTTCTACAAAAGCTTCATCTACCTAAGAAAGCTGAAAAAAACTACCTGTGGAGCTGGATAGACGGAGAATTCAAGCTTGGCCTTCTTTCCGTAGTCAACGGACAATCTTTCCATAAGAAGTGATGTGAACCCAGAGCCAGTACCGCCACCGAATGAGTGGAATACAAGGAAACCCTGGAAGTGTAGCCTTTTGTGTCCTTTGTATTGCCATCTCAAGCTAGTTTTACACGTTTGAAAGCAGGGGACAGCACACAGCAGGGACATTATTTTGAAAATTTTGGGACTCTCAGCCGCGGGTATGCGACAAGACAATCGTAACATGCCACGCTGGTG